TCATGACTCCTGTTCCTCCTCCTCCTCCCCGGCCCCCGCCCCGCGCGTCTGGGCCAGCGCTGCGAATGTGGAGCCAGGCAGTCAAGTGTTACTGCGTACAGCAGGTAGCCTGGCAACTGAGAGCATAATACCGAGCAGATGGTGTTCGCACGGCGTGATGGACATCACACACGACAGCCTGAGACAATCCAGGAATTCCCTGGTGGCTCGAGGCCCGCTTTACACAAAATGAGTTCTCTCTCCATTGCCATGTATCTCTAGGGTTATCTCCCCCTCTCCCCAACTGACACTGAACTGGTTTCTTATTACCGACTTTTCTTCCTTGAGCCCGAGGGAAGGGCGATTTCAGGTGGGGGAGGGCATGGGAAAAGGATGGGGAAGGAAATGGGGAGGGCTGGGGGCGGGAGGAGAAGGTGGGCGGCAGTGGGGACCGGAAAGAAGAAAGAGAGTGGCGGAAATCGGACCCCAGGACAGGCAGTCTAGAGGGGCAGGGTCTGTGTCAGCCAGGCTTCACAAAGCCAGCGCGGGGAGGGGGCGGTGAAGAGCGCGCCTCTCGTCTGCCCGGACCCACTGCCTCGGCTCAGATCTTTGCAATCGCGTTGCCTACGAAGATCCTAAGTGAAATTTAGGATTTTATTTAAAAAGTCCCCCGGGGCGTAATTTAGCCTTTCGACTCGAGCCTATATCCTTACAAGTCTTAAGGGGATTCCGACTAAGAAGTCAGGAGTGGAACCCTTGTGCTCCCGCAGGCCCGAAAATGCCTCCCTGCGCTGGCTTTCCTAACAAAGAAACCGCCCAGGCGGCCCTGGGCGCAGGCAGAGGCGGCGCGGGGGCTCCGGCGAACAGCGAGGGGCCCTGGAGGGCCTTCCCCTGCGCACGCCGCTCGCCAGCCAGGGCCGGGCAGGCTGCGCGCGCGCGGGCTGGCGCGCTTCCCAGCCCCCGCAACACCGCGGGTGCCCGTGGCCGGGGAGGAAATGGGAGCGGAGAACGTGGGGACTGAGAGGAGGATTGTTATAGTCGGAAAAAGCAAAAATAAACGCATAAAGAAAAAGTGTGCTCCAGAAAACAAATCTGTTTTTCACACACACAACTGAATCAAAAAAAATTAAATCTTCAGCCCAAAAGG